GGCAAAATAAAAAAACCCCCCCCCCCCACACACACACACACACACATTCCACTGGGCATGCCATCTTTGAAACAAATGCAAACATTCCACAGGAAGGCACTCAATAAACTTTGCATCAGAAAATTACGACAAATGATTTTAATTATTCATGAGCGAAGGGGTCACCAAGAAAAGATCGTACAACTCGAACAACTAGAGAATATTGCAAACTTCACTTCCAGCACACACATTGCTCCATCTTTTTTCCATAAGGATAAGAATCTCCAGGCATGGACCATATTTGTTTTGAAGATGGCCCGAGGTAGCAGTAATAGTGAAAAAAAATAAAACATGAATAATTGACATCCCCTGTCAAAATGTTTATTGTGAGCTTTATTAACAGATGAAACTAAAAACATAACACAAATGATGCAGTCAAAGCCCTTGATTTTCATTTAAGACTAATTTAATAACCTTGCTTTTACAGATGATTAGAGGACTCTCCGTAACTTTCGCTAAACTTTGCATCAGAAAATTACGACAAATGATTTTAATTATTCATGAGCGAAGGGGTCACCAAGAAAAGATCGTACAACTCGAACAACTAGAGAATATTGCAAACTTCACTTCCAGCACACACATTGCTCCATCTTTTTTCCATAAGGATAAGAATCTCCAGGCATGGACCATATTTGTTTTGAAGATGGCCCGAGGTAGCAGTAATAGTGAAAAAAAATAAAACATGAATAATTGACATCCCCTGTCAAAATGTTTATTGTGAGCTTTATTAACAGATGAAACTAAAAACATAACACAAATGATGCAGTCAAAGCCCTTGATTTTCATTTAAGACTAATTTAATAACCTTGCTTTTACAGATGATTAGAGGACTCTCCGTAACTTTCGCTAACAACGCACGAACAACCCAGGCTAATCTTAGCTCCTCCGCAACATACAAAGTTTGTCTCTCAGTCGAGATGAACTGCTGTCACTATCACTCCTGTACTACTTTGCTCTTCAGACAAGGAACCGACTAGTTCAACCTATTAGTAATTTTCACACATCAGTGCTGGTCAGAGAGTACAAAATAAGATGGTTGAAGATGAGAATAGAGGTTAGCCGCGCTAGCTTTGGCAATTCTGATCACTGCTCGTCTTCATTCAGCTACTTTAACAAAATGGTGACTTTTAATCATTTGTTTTTATTTGTTTCGATTCATGTTTGTCGAAACCGGTCTGTGATGCAAAAAAAGCTGGAGAAAATCTTTACTGTGCTCAAAAATGATCAGTGACATCTTTGCCTTTAGTTGTTCAACACCTAATTTATAAATTTTAGGGCATTTTGGCGCACAAACATTTTTCAGCTGATGAGAACCGATGAGTTGATAGGGAAGCAATATGGACAGCATCGTCAAGTTCTGCTCACATATTTTTTTTTCAATTCATAACAATGATGATTCCATCAAATCATTAGAGCTTCTGTTCGCACAAACTTTGTCGCCTCCTAACACTTGTTTCACACGTTCGCACATCCAGAAAAATCAGGAATATTATGCGCATAACTTATTATACACCCCCGATGTGGGAAGTTGTGTCTTTTTATGACAAGCGATTTTCATTCTTTTTTTCCTCCTTGACTTTTGCAGGTGATTTGTATTATTCTCGTGTTTTCCAAGCACTTATTTACCAGCAATCTTTGGTGTACTTTGTCGGTATTGTGTTTTTCTGAAATAACATTTTTGATTAATTCTTTACCTGTGTCACCATTTGTGTATATCGCTCGGTAGGTAGGGAGGTGTTAATCTCACTTTAGATGTCAAAAGTGTTTTTTATTGCTGTTTGTGTGTGTGTGTGTGTGGGTTTTTTTTCTGTTGCAGATGGCCCGAATGGTGTTAAAGGTTTCTGACAACTACGTAATGTGCATTCGCTTGACTTTGGTGCAGGCAGCATCAGTCAGTTTTCCCACTCAGTGACGGTGTGAATGTGAGAGTGAATGCTTGTCTGTTTTCCAAATGTGTCCCGTGACTGACAGGCAACCAGGTGTTGTCCGTCTTTTGTCCACGGTCGGATCTTAATTACTCATGAGCGAAGGGGTCACCAAGAAAAGATCGTACAACTCGAACAACTCGGGAATATTGCAAACTTCACTTCCAGCACACACATTGTTCGATCTTCTTTTCATGAGGATAAGAATCTCCAGGCATGGACCATATTTGTTTTGAAGATGGCCCGAGCTAGCAGTAATCGTGAAAAAAAATGAAACATGAATAATTGACATCCCCTGTCAAAATGTTTATTATGAGCTTTATTAACAGATGAAACTAAAAACATAACACAAATGATGGAGTCTAAGCCCTTTATTTTCATTTAGGACTAATTTAATAACCTTGCTTTTACAGATGATTAGAGGACTCTCCGTAACTTTCGCTAACAACGCACGAACAACCCAGGCTAATCTTAGCTCCTCCGCAACATACAAAGTTTGTCTCTCAGTCGAGATGAACTGCTGTCACTATCACTCCTGTACTACTTTGCTCTTCAGACAAGGAACCGACTAGTTCAACCTATTAGTAATTTTCACACATCAGTGCTGGTCAGAGAGTACAAAATAAGATGGTTGAAGATGAGAATAGAGGTTAGCCGCGCTAGCTTTGGCAATTCTGATCACTGCTCGTCTTCATTCAGCTACTTTAACAAAATGGTGACTTTTAATCATTTGTTTTTATTTGTTTCGATTCATGTTTGTCGAAACCGGTCTGTGATGCAAAAAAAGCTGGAGAAAATCTTTACTGTGCTCAAAAATGATCAGTGACATCTTTGCCTTTAGTTGTTCAACACCTAATTTATAAATTTTAGGGCATTTTGGCGCACAAACATTTTTCAGCTGATGAGAACCGATGAGTTGATAGGGAAGCAATATGGACAGCATCGTCAAGTTCTGCTCACATATTTTTTTTTCAATTCATAACAATGATGATTCCATCAAATCATTAGAGCTTCTGTTCGCACAAACTTTGTCGCCTCCTAACACTTGTTTCACACGTTCGCACATCCAGAAAAATCAGGAATATTATGCGCATAACTTATTATACACCCCCGATGTGGGAAGTTGTGTCTTTTTATGACAAGCGATTTTCATTCTTTTTTTCCTCCTTGACTTTTGCAGGTGATTTGTATTATTCTCGTGTTTTCCAAGCACTTATTTACCAGCAATCTTTGGTGTACTTTGTCGGTATTGTGTTTTTCTGAAATAACATTTTTGATTAATTCTTTACCTGTGTCACCATTTGTGTATATCGCTCGGTAGGTAGGGAGGTGTTAATCTCACTTTAGATGTCAAAAGTGTTTTTTATTGCTGTTTGTGTGTGTGTGTGTGTGGGTTTTTTTTCTGTTGCAGATGGCCCGAATGGTGTTAAAGGTTTCTGACAACTACGTAATGTGCATTCGCTTGACTTTGGTGCAGGCAGCATCAGTCAGTTTTCCCACTCAGTGACGGTGTGAATGTGAGAGTGAATGCTTGTCTGTTTTCCAAATGTGTCCCGTGACTGACAGGCAACCAGGTGTTGTCCGTCTTTTGTCCACGGTCGCCTTGGATGGTCTCAAGATCCAGAACAAGATAAGCGGTTTGGAAATAGATGGATCGAGGGATAGATATTATATTTATAGAGGAATCTTTGGCTGACATTTTATGCCACAAGATGTTCTCAGGGGTAGACAGCATTGACATTGGAGGGTGAGACAGAAGCAGCTGCCGACGTTCCTGTGGGAGATTCGAGCGAGGCTCTCTCAGTGGGTAACCAGAGCGCTTCTCACTTTTATTTATTTATTTTTTTTATCGCATTCATTCCACTGTGGCCTTCTCCCTGGCCCTTTGCCACCCTACTCTATCAAAATGGAATATAAAAACCAACATGTTCTTTAGCTGCCCTGACCTCAACGTCAAGCGTTTGATGTGCGACGCCCTCACTCGGCCCACTCTTTTTGATTTTATGCGCTCCCCGTTTTTGTTGAATAATTGAATAATCCAGTTGCCTCATTTCTTCAACCATGCAGAACAAGTTATTTACTCGTGGAGGTATTCTATTTGTTTGTTCTCCTGTTTTAATGAGTTGTGTTCCCCTTTGCGCTGCATTAATCAATAAACCTGATCATTCTGTCCTTCGTGGACTCACTTCTACTCAGCTTCTAAGATAGCCCCCACTCGTTGTCCTATTCCTCCTATTTTATGTTTTTTATGGGCTCGTGATGATAGAACTCCCCAAATGTGGATGGAGTGGGTGGAGGGAATACAAGTGTGTGTGTATGTGTGTGCGTTAATGATCTTTCAGGCCATTACTGCTCTTTGCGAGTTTTGCTTTGTTGTCTAAGGGAGAAAACAGCATGCTCTGAATGGACCATTGATTTCAAGCTTTCGGAGCCTTTTTTTTTCGCATGCACACACAAGAGAGTCTGGGGTTTAGTCGGGCTGATCTTTTATTTCCAGTCTATATGTGCTTGTCTTTCTTCAACATGTCTCGTGGGAATTTTGCAAGAATTGGTACAAAGAGTTAAGCACTGCATAAAACATGAGAACCCAACTATGTTCCAGCAGGACAAGCCGGAAAAGACGAGTTTCCCTCAGAATGCTTAAGTATGACATAGTTTCAAAATATTTAAAGAATATATTGATTGTTATCATGATAATTCATTTGGGTTTTTTTTTTGTGTCTGAAACCCGACTAAATTTCCATAGGAACAGGACTTAGTGATGCCCAGGGAGCTGCCCATGGGAGAAAAAAAATATTTTCAGATTGCTACTCTAACGCTGTAATAGGGGAATATGTATGCTGCATTAAAAAAAAAAACAAAAAAAAAAAACAACACACAATTTCAAGCCTCCAATGTGAAAAAATAGGCAGTAAAACAAGTGCCGTAAAATCGGTGTAATTGGTGTAGCTGACAAAACAAAAACATTGAGGAGATCTTTTGATGAATCATCAAGTTGCACTGTTTTACTCAAATTTAAAGGTGCTTTTTTATTTT